AGGGGCATTCACTATAAACGTCATTTATTTTTACCCTTAAGCATACACGACTTTCTGGGCGAAAGTGAAACTAACAGCCTGTGTGAAATGCGCTAGGCTGTACTGTACTTGTCCCTCTCATTCTGCACCAGTGCAAATACGTGTGCGCGTTGCGCGTTATTATTATACATACTCTTTTGGTTTCTGTACCCAATATTTTAAAAATTTACAAATTCATTGAAAATATTGGTATCGGTACTCGGTATCGGCAAGTACCAAAAATAAAAGTATCGGTATCAGGCGAGTACTGGAAAAAGTGGTATTGGTGCATCCCTACATTCTAATTTCATTTATTCTTTTTCGATCTCATTTGACATCTTTAGACTTTGGGGTAAAAATGTCATTATTCTCATTCTGAGTCCTTTCAAGCTCCATTCAAGCACAGCTTTGCTCACTGAACCCCTTTTGAGCCCCCCCAACCCCTTCTTTGTATGCCTAGTGCTGGCAAAAGTCCTAGATTTGCATAAACGTTTGAGATGCAGGGGCGGGTGTCCTCGCCAGCACCAGAGGAAACCATAACTACAAGGCGGCTGAGAATGTCAATCAGCCTGAGGGCTCATTATTCTTCTAGCTATGAACAGTGAGTGACTGGCGTCTGGAAGTTTTCTCCCCCTCTGTCAGTACATGCAGTAGCTTCTAACAAATCTATCCTTTACAAGACAGAGGATGCACGCATAGTTGACAGAAATCAAAATAACACCCACTGCATCTGCCATTCTTCTTCTTTATTTATCTTATTTTCAAAATCAGTTTTAGAAAGTTCTAGTACTGCAAGGTCTAAAAAGATTTTAAAAAATGATCATTTAACATATTTAGGGATGCACCGAAATTTTCGGCCGATAATTTTCAGCGGCCAAAATTTTGGTGCATCCATTGTCATATTCATCTATACTGTATGAACCTATGTTTATCATTTGAATCATTTGCAACATTATGTTCTCATAAACCGTTTTTACCCATGTATACATAATTCATAGCTTTTGAATAATATATACAAATATGAAAAGCTGCTTACATGTATGTATATTAACCAGCGTTACAGAGAGCTGACAGCATAGATTAAAGAACCAGTCACACAAGACAAATTCTTGTTCAACATCAAGATAAAATTGAGCTAAATAAAGACATTTTGGAATATGAACTGTTTTTGTCTAGGCACGGCATCCTAAAAACGTGGCGCTTATGGCGTGAGATGCTAAAAAAACTACCTGATAAATATATACACCCTAGATGAGTTATTGAATATATAAATGCATACATATTGAAAGAGATTAAGCAACACGTATGTAGGGCTTTGTGTTTTTGCCTTAGGGCAGATTTTGTATATTTATACTTATATGGGCTCTTATAGTGGGCACTTTATGTCAAATCCTACTGACATGAATGATTATTTCTGTTCTTCTTTCATCTCTGTAGCAAGCAATCAAATACATATTTCATTTTGTAACATGAATGAAATTAAGGTACTACAACTAACTAGCTATTTTTCCTAACAGAGTAGAGTATTTTTTTTTTTTAGTTTTGAGTTTGTGTTAGGGTTCATTCATCA